TCCATTCAACAATATACATGCAAATAATATGTAGTTTTATGGCTGTATATAGTATACTGTATTACTAAATAATATTTAAAGTTATTGTACAATAGATTTTTTTTTGGAGACATTGTTTTTGATAGCCTATCATTAGAAACATATATACAGTATATATATAAATATATATAACTTTTGCATCCCTTTTTTCCCAGAAATAAAAAAACAATATTATTTAGATAAAAAAAATAGTAATATACTGTATAGTACAGTAGTTTAATAGATATGACATCCAGGGTTATGATTTAACTGTATGGCATATACAGTATCTGCCAGTGCTATCAAACAAAAAATAAATGATTGAGAAAAATTGCTTTATATTGCGCTATACAGTACAATATATATATATATATATATATATTAGGGATCATATACGCTGATGATGGAGATAGGGGTAAAACCTACTACTATATTACATATATATATATATCTAATAGTATACTCCCAGTGCTGTTAGTAAAATCACATCAAAGCTGACTGTCCAGTGCGCTTAAAATACATTTGCCCAAGCTGTTGCACCTTTATCATATATGGCATCAATAATGCAGACACACACACACACACAAACATACCAGTGCTCTATACAGTCAATACTCTATTTAGTTTTTTTTGTTTGTTATCCAAATAGAAAACAAAATATAATATATATTTTTTAAATATATATATAATTTAACTTAATATATTTAATGCAATAGTATAATAATTTTGTATATATTTTTTACAAGTAACTAATTAGTAACTTAATTTTATCATGTTGAAATTATCATAAATATGATAACATACAAAAATAAAATTAAATAAAATATACTAGATAAATTTATAAAAACTAGGTTTGACTGTATTTATAAGATAATATTGTTTTTTTTCTATATAATACTGTATAAGTTATATCATATCATATGTATCACACATAATATTGTATATATCATATATGATATAAAAGTAATATATATATATATTGTATATATAAAGCAATCAATTCTACATCAATGAAATGGACACAAAAATCACTTTTATTTGTTGCACACTTTGACTTACTTATGGTATATATATATATATTATTAGATGAAAAAAAAACAAAAAGGTTATGATCTCTCTCTCCCCTAATATTATATATACAATCGCATCGTTAGACTTTATACAATATACAGTATATATTATAGTCAAACAAACAAACAAAAAACATCATTTAATAATACTACCGGTGCCACCAGTTAATATCATAACTGGTATATTAAGAGAGAGAAGAGAGAGAGAGAGAGAGAGAGAGAGAGAGAGAGAGAGACCATTTAGTAAATGTTGTCTAAATTGTTGTCTCAATAATATACAGTATATATCTACAGTATTATATATACTGTATATCCATTATATAAAAAAACATTTAGATATGATATTTAGGAGAGACATTTGGCACCCAAAATATAATGTACATAATATATTAATATTAATATATATATATATATATAAAGTCAAATGGTTTTTATATTGACAGCACTGTTACCTAAATAATAAAAAAGATCATTGGTTTGTGTGTGTAGTTGTTTCTGTAAAAATCTATAATAATATTGATATAAATCATATACAGTATATATATTCCCTCAATATATGTAAATACAATACAGAATATATATACTGTATATATATATTGAATACATAAACAATATTTATATATATATATATTATTAATGCATTTACCATTAAAGACATGATTTTTGTTTTTTGTTGTTTGTTATTATCATTGTATGAGATAAATGTAAATATTATATTAATATACATATAGTTAATAGTAAATGTGATTTAGCTATTGCATATAGTGACAGTAATATATTAATAATAAAGTTATGACAATATATTTATATAATATTTATTATTATTATTTGATACAAATATGTATCAATGATTAATAAGATTTTTATTTGTAGAGTAATTTTTAAATTATGTTTGTTATTATTATTATTATTATTAATATAGTGTTTAAATAATAGTAATTAATAAATGATACAATTAGTAATATTTTTTTGTTTGTGTATTAAACAAATAACAATTATATAATACTAGTAGTAATACAGTATTATTGTGACAAACATTTAATTTTGTTTATTTATTTTTTCAATGACAATAGCAGATCAATTGTTCAAATCATTAAACCATAAAAATTTTTCGACTGAAAAAAATTAAATAAATGTTTTTATATGTAATTTATATAAATCTCTCTCTCTCTCTCTCTCTCTCTCTCTCTCTCTCTCTCTCTCTCTCAGCAATACAATTACAATAATAATACATTGTTTATGATGTAACCGACACACACACACACTCCCTTTCATCTAACTGTCCAAATCCAGTGGTCTATTATATAAACTGTGTATTATATAATATGTACTGTAGTTTCATATATTTTATTTTGATCTCAAATAACTGGTGACTACTACTACTACTACTGGGACTGATTGACTGGTAAACCACATTAAACTTTATTTTATATATATATTTTTGTTTTCACTTATTGAGCTCCACTTATATATCAATGATAAAATAATACTAATACCAGTGCTCCTGTATGTATGTATGTTTGTCTCTCTTTGTGTATCATATCATTTATTAGTAGTAGTAGTAGTACTGTATTTGTCTGCACAGGGATTGAGCACTGGGAGGAGGATTGGATACATACACACAGCAAAAAAAGTCAAAAAATCCAGATGTCTTTGGCATTTAATAAAGTGGTTTTCCATCTATTAAGACATCATCTCTCATGTGATATCACCCACTCATTCAATCACTTACTCTCTCTCTCTCTCTCTCTCTCTCTCTCTCTCTCTCTCTCTCTCTCTCATTCAGTCTCTTTCAACAAAACCATTAAACATTGAAACCAAAACATAATATATAATAATAATATATTATATAATAATTTTTTTTTGTAAAATAAATAAAAACAAATAATTTGTCTTAAAAATCTCTCTCAAAAAAAAAAAATAAATCTTCTAATTTATGCAACAAAATAGATAATATATAAATATATTTATAATTATTTTTTTAAAAAACAGTAGTTTTTAGTTAACACATTAGTTAACAAATTAAATATAAATAAAACTCTTAAATCATTGATATATATATATATATATATCACTGATACAGTATAATAGGATAATTTCAATAACAAAAAAAAATAATAAATTTACGACACAATCATAAAAGATTTATTATATTTATTATTAGTATTAATAAAGTTGTGTAACAAAAAAAAATAAATTATTGTATATGAAAAAAAACTTTATGGCTATATTTATGTAACGTATTTTAGTAGTTAAAATAGTAGGCCTGTCCTCTTATAGCACACACATACAGTCACACCAATTGTGTGTCAAATTTGGTATTTATTAAATGATAATAAATCATTGGACAGACTTTACTATTATATATTTAGAGAGAGATTATTGCTATCAAAGAGACAGTAGGTTTTTATATCTTTATTATTATTATTTATATTAAGTACTATGAAATATTTTTGGGGAATGGATTGGGTGGCCCATCAAAACAGCTGCTGATATATATATATATTATATATATATATAAAGACATCATCACATATGATATAGCAATAATAAACCGTCACCGAAACACATACACACACAGGAAGGTACCGATGCTAATACTGGTATGAGATATATGCCCAGCAAATACAGTCTCTCAGTGTATATAATACAGGGATGCGTTTCTCAGTATAATAGGAGGAAAATATGTGTCAAACCATATATCGTTTTTTTTTCGCTTCTTTATCGGGCACTGATTGCTCTCCCGCTTTGAGAGAGAGAGAGAGAGAGAGAGAGAGAGAGAGAGAACTGTTAGATTTATAAGTGTGATGATTGTGTGCCTACCAAACATTTTTGGGCACCCATACCCCCTCCTCATACTACTTGTAGGCCTCATTTTTCACACATTGAATAGAGAAAGAGAGAGAGAGAGAGAGAGAGAGAGAGAGAGAGAGAGAGAGAGAGAGAGACTGTTGATCCCACTGCTAATAAACAATTGGGAGAAGTATAACAAATCGAGAGGAAATATATATATATATATGTGATTTAAGCCCATATTGTTATCTCCCGGTGCCTACCATAGAATATACATATAGTATAGAGTAGGCATCGTTGGATGGATTAACCGATGAAATAGTTTACACTTTACTACTGTATAGATATATACAATATATATAATATTATGAAGCAATTCACACTGTGTTTTGTATCTCTCTCTCTCTCTCTCTCTCTCTCTCTCTCTCTCTCTCTAACCAATGTTCCCAAATGGTATAGACCATAGAAAAATGGGATTTTCTATTATAAACTACCGGCGCTTCCAAAATATATATATATATTCTTTATTGATATATCAATAAGCATATGGAGATTATATTTGATGTGTGGACTGGTATGGAATGGACTGTCTGTTTTTGTGTGTGTATATATATGTGTTGTTGAATGTATAATAACAATAATAATCATCCGAAAGGCCGGTACGATATGGAGAGGTGATGACAACAATAAAGGGCATCACATCTCTCTCTCTCTCTCTCTCTCTCTTTAATATATTCAATATGTTTTTTACAGTATTTAATATTGCCTGTCCTTTCATTGAGCATTGTGACGGGATATTAGACAAAATAATAGATATATATGTGTATATATACGGTATATGTATGCAAACAGTAGTATAGTATATATATGATATCATATTTATAAAACTGATTTATAATTTCAATTGATATTTATTGATATCTATATCTATAAGTTGTATATATATATTGAATATATTTGTATCCAACTGTACGGTTGAACACACTATTCAGATTAAAAAAGTATTGACAACTCAATTGTGTTTCTCAAACCCAGTTGTCTGTAGGGGTTGTCTATACCGAAGGTGTTGTTATGTTGGGTCTCATATATATATATATATATGTATTTGAAAACACTCACCTTCCAGCTCAATGATGTCGATATGCGATCCTTATGTATCTTTCCGAGATAGGGACCAAATATTGTGCCCATTTTCAATGTTTGTCGGGCACATACAGCCATAAATGGCTGTCCATCGGTATGCGGAGTAGCCGATCGCAATTCAAGTTCGTCGGGCAGCTCAGGTAGCAATAGCTGACCACCACTACGATGATGATGATGGCCTAAAAGTTTTTTTTTTAAATCAAATCAAATAATTAGATAATGATAATAACTATTTTTTTTTTAAAAATACAAAATCTTTTATTATATTGCAAAACACATTTCAAAGTTAGTAATTTATGGTCAGGTAGATTATTAGGGACAGGGCGATTTTTGTTTATTATACCAAGATAATACTATAATATATGTAATTTTTATTTATATGTATTATAAAATTACCGACAATAGCAAACATATTGGCAATATATATACTGTACACAGTATATAATACAATACAATATGTTATACAATATATTATAATATGATATATGAAGGAACGGTATATATATATATACCGGTATATATATCTTAAGTGTATGTATTTTGATAATATGAGAGGAAAACAGTTGTCTCAAAACAATATACTGTATATATATATATATGAGATAAGAGGTCTAACTATCTATCTATCTGTCTATGTGTGTGTGTGTGTGTCTGATAATATATACATATTATATTGATGTTGACCCGGGCACACACACACACACACACACTGTCTTAAAATTTTTACATATCGGTGCCCTTTAAGAGTAGTGGATAGCCCTTAGCTTTTTATTATCTCTCTGTTATGTGTTTTGTTATTTGTAAAACATATGATAAGAAAAAAAGGACAAAAGGATCGGTAGATATAAGAAACATTATATTTAATAATAATAAGTAAAACTTTAGGGATATATTGTCTATCACTATCACCACCACCACTACTACTACTACTATTCCAGACATTTATTTACTCAGGAAGTGACTGAGCCCAATGTGGACAGGGATGCAAACACATAATCTATCAACCAATAAATAAAACATACATATTAATGGATAGACCATATCTAACAATGATTTTTCTCATAGTTTGGTTCAAAACAACTAATAAATTTTCAAAGAGATAACGATTCACAACAAGTGATCCGATAGGTCTGTGCCAATCATATACAGTACATAAGTTTGTACAGTATATACAACATATACTGTATATATATATCCCTTTCCTCAAGAATCGATATCTAAGTGTTAAAAACATTACACCCGCTGTTTGTTTTTAGTGTTCACAATATATCGTATCGGTATCGGTGTTCACAACTAAAACACACACACACACACAAAAAACATGCCAACACCTCCTCCGTACACACATACACACCAAACATACTATCGGTATAAAAACCCTTATCATAAGGACAGGGCTAATATGTCTTTGTCTAGTATTACGATGTGTTTGTCTATCAATTTTTGTTGTCTTTACTCCTCTATCTCTCTCTCTCTCCTCCCTTCCCGATATCGTGCCGACAGCTGCTCTTTGAAGATTCAATATATATATTAAGCACCGGTATCAATATTGACCGGCTCTCTCTCGGGTCTAATCAGTAAAATAGACCACACCAGTCATAAATTAAATGCAAACATATATAGATATATACAGGTTTAGTATATATATATATATATTGATATCGATATCTACCGACACTTTTCAAACTTATTTATTATATATTGATATATACAGTGTGTGTGTGTGTGTGTGTGTGTGTGTGTGTGTGTGTGTGTGTGTGTGTGTGTGTGTGTGTGTGTGTGTGTGTGTGTGTGTGTGTGTGTGTGTGTGTGTGTGTACACAATATAATCAATAAACGGTTTATTTTTATTTTATTTTTTTATATTGTATTAACTAAAAACAAAATACAGATTTGTTTATGCACTGTATAATGGTTTGAAATATATTGAAATATAAGATAATAATAATAATAATTTAAATATTTTATTACAAATATTAACTAATAATTTTAATAATTGATAATTTTTTTCATTAAAAAATACTAAACAATATGTATGACTAAATAAAAATTATTAAAAAATATGTGTGTGCGTGTGTCTATCCACTAATATTTATTATAAGTTTATAAAATATATATATATATATATATATATATATATATATATATATATATATATATATATATATATATTATATTAAAGGTATGTCGGTATGTCTTAAAAACAGACTACCTGTCCAAAGTACACATACTGTATATACACTATAGATTGGATTATCTTGTTGTTGGACACAAACACACACACAACAAGTACTATAAATTTATGTCTCTAATGGATGGGTAAATGTATAGCCAATAAAGTATGATTAACTCTATAACTATTACTATTATTTTTTGTGGATGACATCAAAGCAGGAGAAGCCGTGTTTTTAGTGACTGAAAGAGAGAGCGAGAGAGCGAGAGAGCGAGAGAGCGAGAGAGAGAGAGAGAGAGAGAGAGCGTGAAGGAGAGGTCATGCGATGAAAACACGACAAATGCATTGGCATCACATAGTGATGGACACCACACACACACCATAAGGATAAGGACACAACACATAAGCCATCTCACAAGCACTGGGAGGTAGTCCATACAGTACTACTATTCATCAATGTATTAATATATATTGTATAAGATATACTGTATAGAAAAGACAATGGATTCAATTCCTAGATCAGCCCAACAGGTGGTCCACACAAAAACAGTTAGCATTAAAGTGCATATCGACGTGTGTTTTAAGCGCCTAACCTAACTAACTAACTAACTAACGAATCTATCCTCCGGGCACTACTCAAAGCATATACAGTACGTACACAGTTAGCTAACCATTAAATTGTTGACCCATTAGCTTAAATGGTTGGTCGAGATTGAGTTAAAGAGAAAGAGAGAAAGAGAGAGAAAGGATTTCGGGAAATGTTATCTAATATTATAAATATATTTTAGGACAAAAACACGATATTTATCTGGAAAAACATACTACTGGTGCTGTATATGACAGTTCAAACATATATATATATATATATATATATATATATATATATATATATATATATATACTAGTCAATAACCAGTGTGTGATGTGCTTTTTGTGGCTTAATGGACAGGCAGGGAGGAGGTGGTGGTAGTAATGGTAATCCCAATATATTTGAGATACATGTGTGATATAGTCTATTAAGGTTTATACTGTATGTATTAAATATCATATATATATATATATATATATATATAAAATCAGTTAAATATCTATTTACTAAATTACTTGTATATTAACAGTACCGTATATATATATAAATAATATGTAGATTATATTTATATATAAAACATGATGTTTACTTGTATTTAATATTATCCCCGACACCCACCTAACAAAAAAAAATAAATAATAATCTAACAGTTTTCATCAATTATAAATCATATGATGTTTGATCCAGGAAAAGCATTTAGCTATTTTTTTAAAAGATATATTTATTTATTTATTAGTTATTATTAATATTAACATTTTAAGATATTTACTGATTTATTTTGTTTGTTATTTATTTACTGTATTTAATATACTATTTTTATAGCTTAATAGCAAAAAACGTGTAATAAAACTTTGTGTTTTGTTTTTTTATTTTTGTTTATTTTTTATCTACTATTAAATAATTTTTTTTTATTTTATTTAGTTTCATATAAACACTATGAGTAAACAATTTATTTGGAAAATTTTTCTTACTATTGAAAAAAAATTCATTGATAAATATTCAATTCAATAAATACTATATATATATATATATATATATCTGAAAATAAAATATTTTCAAAACTATTGGTACAAAATAATTACCGGTAATATTAAATAATAATAATATTATACAGTAATAAACGCCTTCATCTAACAATATAATAATGTTAGAAATAATAATAATAATATTTCAAATTTTTATGATATATATATGAAAAACACATATAAAAACCATTGGTTTTTATTATTTGAGAGACCTATGAGTTCCCGGGGTCGGGTCGGGTATTTTAAATATACATTCAAAAAAAATAATTTATATTTAAAAAAACTTTTTTCAATTACTACTATACATTATATTTATATATATATATAAAATTTGAGTTTCCTATTGTAAAATTTTATGTATATAATGTAAATAGTGTACCACTCAGTTAGTTACTTACACACACACACACTCACCCGCTCACTAACTATATGGTGAGGTGTGTGTGTGTATGTGTATGTTATGTAAAAGGGTGTATAACAATGCAAAATTTTTATACTGTATATATATACTGTATATATTTATATCGTATATATATGAGTTATATCGATATATATATATATATATATATATATATATATATATATATATATATATATATATATATATATATATATATATATACACTACTATACAAACATAATATAAAGATATAAGAGTCACACACAAAAAAAAATCATTTATCATATGTAAGAAAATTGTTATTTTCTTTATTGAAAAATCTAAGAGTCTCTCTCTCTCTCTCTCTCTCTCTCTCTCTCTCTCTCTCTCTCTCTCTCTCTCTCTCTCTCTCTCTCTCTCTCTCTCTCTCTGCGGTCTAAAACCATTAGTAATTGACTGAATATACTGTACTGGTATATACTATATACAGATAGTGGGAAAAGTTAACTATTATTTTTTTTTAAAAGGGCACCACCAGAAATAAATACCGGCGCGCGTCTCATAAATACAGTAAAACTCGTTTTTTTTTTAATATATAATAAATTGTGTGATTGACTTGATTTTTGCCGGCAATTGTTATTATATATATATATATACAGTATATATAAAGTATAGTAAGTTATATATATTGTTAAGAAGACATTGAAATATATATATATATTATTTGTATTCAATACGAAAATTTTTTTTTTTTGACAATACATGAAGCCTATGAAGCTGGGAGATATTGATGATACCTGAGCCCAACCTCCAAGTGCCACAAAAATTCAAAAAAATCATTAGTCATTCAATACTAACTTTTTAATATATATATATATATAAAGTTAAATGAATGTCAAGTTAAAAATTATATTGTATATCATTTTTTCGCCCATTATTTAAACAAAATTATAACTATTTCATATGAATAAAATAAAATGTATAATTATTTGTCTTAATTTTAATTCTAATAAA